ACTTTTGCAAGCCACTGTATGTTGTCACAGAGTTTTCGACATATAAAAGGAAGAACAAGGTGTTTTCTTAAATGGTGCAACAGCAGCAGCACTCTAACACATGCTCAGTTACTCTCAAAAGAATAGTCAGGCAGGAGCTACTGTTTGACCAGCAGATCAGCCAACATGCCAGTGGAACTGAAAGGGAACATTTTAGTGACAGGGGCCAACAGAGGCCTTGGTTTGGAGCTGGTGAAACAGCTGGCAGAGACGACAGGACAAGAGGCTCACATCTATGCCTGCTCCAGAGAGCCTGAAGGAAGCAGAACTGAGGTGAGACTGTTACACATAAATGCTTCTTGTGGTTCTCACATCAACTGCTAGAGCAACCCTCACATGCACACATGTGAAGGTTGTCTGTGTATCATCTGTTCATTTCACTTATTTTACTTATATAGTGCCAAATCACAATAACAGTCACCTTAAGCGCCTTGTATGTTTTGTATTGCTTTGTATTGTAAATAAATTGTTATGTTGTTATTGTCAACATCTGCAGATAACTTTATCATAACATCATCTTGTAATTATGAGAATACAACATAAAAAAGTCATGAAAGTATGAAGAGGGGTCCATTTTCATTTTACAAGGCCTAAGCTAACCTAATATTCCAAAAATAGTCAACAAATTTGGTATAAACATCTTTCATTTGGTTTCAAAGTGTGACGGTGTAGCACAGCTAACTCTACGGGGGTCTGGCTGCAAAACTTCTCTTGCAGGCTCCATTTTCAGCACAGAAGCAAAAGATGTAACAAAGCTGTTGAAGGCAACTTGATATGTCAGTTTTGATCGCTACGAAACAGTGAAAAGTGTACATGAGGTCTGCAACAAATCGGTGTGCATTAGTTGTGTTCTCAATTTAAGTGTTGCTGCATTCTCCAAGTTGTTCATTTATTTCCCTTCAGTCACAGATTGTTGGACAATACATTTGCTATTGACAGTTAACATGTCAACTGTACATACCTGTTCTCCTTACACTGTTGCTTTGGAATCTGGAATTCCTGAGGACAAGCCTTAGATTTGTATGCACATCAATCATTTCTGTTGTGAGTCACTGGCTATATACGTGATTTCATGGAATAACAATATAAATATTTATATATATTCTTTCTGTTCCCTTCAGGCACTGAGACAGTTAACCACCCGACATCCTGGAAAGATCACTATAATCAAGCTAGGTAAAAACAATCCGCCGTCATTTAACTCTGCATACACTTCCAACCCCATTTCCAAATGTGTGCTGAAACATTTCCAATTATGACACTAAAACACTGGAGGCTCACAGACAGTGAATTTTGGAAGTGCTGCTGAGTCTATGCACTGATTTCCCAGAAAAAATGATAACTTAGTTATTAAAATCTGAGAACCTTTCCACTACGGGTGCACTCAGGTTTTTGATAGTGCCTTACTTTAATCTCACCAGGCCTCTCACATAATAATGGAAGTGTTGAAATATTCACTTGAGAATCTGAGATTCAAAGGCAAATACATACATAGAAATGAAACCTTTTTTTAAACTCATAATCTTCCACAGTTTTTTGACATTCAAAAGACCTTGGTCATTATGATGTGTATTTCTATGCATCTACCTGTAGATGTTGCAGATGAGGAAAGTATCTCAGCTGCTGTGCAGGCTGTGCAAGATCAGATCGGGGATGCTGGGTTGAATATCCTTATCAACAATGCTGGTATTAGGAAACCGGCCTTGTCAGGAGCATTATCTGCTACCAAGAAAAACGACATGATGGAGGTGTATGAAACCAATGTGGTCGGACCATTTACCATTGCAAAGGTTGGTTTGTTCTCTGCAGAGGTGGGAAGTACAAATACTTTGTTATGTAAGTAGAATTTTCAGGTATTTGTGCTTCATTTGAGTATTTCATTTTCTGAGAACATTGTACTTTCACTTCCCAGATTTTTACACAAACACCTCTACTTTTTACTCCTTACATTACATTTTTGAAACAGGCTCATTTCTTATGTTTAACATATTTGATGGGAGTTTCACATTTTTATTTCACATCTTTCATTTTATTTTAGTTTTTAAATGTGCTATAATTTCACACATGTAAACTATAAGTTTTGTACTTTCAGATGTTTCTTCCACTCCTGAAAAAAGCAGCACAGAGGGATTCTTCTGCAAAGGGCAGTGGTATGTATCTGTTCTTTCATGTTATGTTGAATGTAGGATACCATCACTGGGAAAAAACTCAGTGGAGTGAGTACATACTTATGGTTTCATGCTCCATCTCACTGCAACTGTGACTAGGTTATTTGGTCAGAAGGTCAGTGATTTGATCCGCATAACTTTGAATTATAAGCAGGCAAAATACTTAAGCCCAGATTTCCTGATGCATCCATCCACTTGTGATTGTGTGCATGGCAAGCAAAATTCAAAGGCACAAAATAATGTGTTGTAAATGTGTGAGTGGTACCCTGGCTTGGCAGTACAGGGGTCCATTTGAGCTTTCATATTGAAGTAATGGGATTAGCTTGCCTGATAAGAGTTAATATGAGATTATATTCAATTTACAAAAAGCTGAGTTGAAGATTTGCCTAGCTGCAAGTTATCCACCTCCCAAAGCCAGTTCAATTCAATTCAATTGCCAAATCACAACAATGGTTGCCTCAAGACACTTTATATTGTAAAGTAAGGACCCTACAATAATACAGAGAAAACTGAGAAAACCCCAACAATCAGACAACCCCTATGAGCAAGCGCTTGCCGACAGTGGGAAGGAAAAACCAGGAAGAAACCTCCACCAGAACCAGGGTCAGGGAGCAGCGGCCAACCAATTGCTGCAACTGGTTGGAGGTGAGTGAAGGAAGACACGACAAAGACACCTTGTAGAAGAGAGACAGAGTAACGTTTAAATGGCGATTATTTTGTACCGGAATGGAAAAGTAAAGTGTGGAGAAGGAGAGAAACAGCTCATGATCTGAAGCATCCACGTCATCTATCAGCATAGTGGAGGGAGCATTATGGCATGGGCACGTACGGCTGCCAGTGGAAGTGGGTCACTGGTGTTTATTAATTATCTGACTGCTGATAGAAGCAGCAGGATGAACTGAGAGTACAGGGCTGCACTCTGCTCACATTCAGACTAATGCTGCAACACTGAGCAGACAGAGCTTCATAGTGCGATCCAAAAACCCAAGATTTGCTCAAAGCAAAGAAATTACATATTCTTCAATTGCCAATGAATGAAAGACATTAATACAACCATTATATCCATCCATCAAGCCACTCCGGATCTTCTGGGGGCACACACAGTTTGTCAGCAGAGAGGTGTAATCTCACCAGATCCTTTCCTGAATAGGACTAGAAAATACGACAGAATATGCAGAATTCTAGACACTTATACTTAAAGAAGAGCGGAGCGTTTTCTCTGCATTAATACATTTACAAAAGTAAATAGATTTGAATTCTTTCGCAGGTGGATTGCATCACAGAACGTGTTGGTTGGTGCAGGTTCAGAGATGCAAACTATCCTCACACACAGTTCTTTTCGTTTCCCAGTCATGATGCTAACTTGTTTGTCCCACTTTGTGTCTCAGATGATAAAACTGCCTGCAGCTCAGCCATCATCAACATCTCCACGGCTATCTCATCCATAGAGAAATGTCCAGAGACCTTCTCAGCAGCACAGATGTATCCTTATAGAATAAGCAAGGTACTGTTAAAAAAGAATCAAATATTCTGACTTTCTTCCTAAACTTGTTTATTCTGTCTGTGCTTATATTTTAGAGTTTTTCTTTACTAACATTTTAATAAGTAACTGTGATTCAATGACATAGACCAGATTCAGTGAAAGGAGCTTGACACGCAGTAATTAAGGCATCATGTGGTTCAGTTGTTTGGCTTTAGACACCTGTATTGATTAATAATTAATAATAATTTCAATAAGTGTAATACTTATATGCTTGTATTAGGCTTAACAATAAAGAAATGTGCTCTTTCTCCTGTCATCAGGCAGCATTGAACATGCTGACTCGCTGTCAAGCCGAAGACTTCAAGACTCACAATATAGTGGTGACAGCCATACACCCAGGCTGGGTCCAAACTGAGATGGGAGGAGAAAACGTGATGAAAACTTTAAAATACTTTATTCAGTGAATACATTTAAACATTATGGTTTTCCTTTAAACAGCTTTCATATGAAACAATCACATTTGCTGAAACCCACCAAATCTCTGTTACAGATTCCAGAAAGTCCTTTTAGGTCAAACAAGTACTGTGCTTATGTAAAACCTTATATCGTACTTTTCACTAGACAAACGTAATGTAAGTCCTAGCATTACATCACTGCTTGTACTAGCTTGGAGATTTATACATTTGGATGCATTATTGTAAGTTCAGGGTAAGTAAGAGCATAGTAATAAAAAGACAAACACAGCATGAAACACTCACCGATTCTGTTTTTTGATTTATTTTTGATAATCCAATTACATTTTACATAATATCAATGTTGATATGAGATGAAAGTGCTAACCACCACACCACGACCATCCTTTTCTCCAATAATGATCATTTAAATCTCTAATCTTGAAACTGCAAACACAAATAAACTTCATTTTTAGCGTTTAGCTTGTTAGCCTTCCACATATTAGAAATCATAAAGCTTGTTCTGATCCAGCCGCTTCCTTTCCAGTGACTTTCTTCTTTTGTGTGTCTGTTGTCTCCCACAGGCTCCTTTGACCACCGTGGACAGCGTACTTGGCATGCTTAGTGTGATATCGTCACTTAGCAACAAAGACAGAGGGATGCTTCTGGACTGGCAGGGCAACACCATCCCCTGGTAGCCGTCATGTCAAAACCAGGCTAATAGACAATGTTTTCAGGTTAAAATTCAAATGAGAAAAAGCATACACGAATATAAAGATAATAAAACATTGAGGAGGAGATTTTTTTAAACTCATTTTATTCTTTTCTTTTTTTTAACATGTACTAGAAGCTTTCTGCAAACTGAACTGCTGGCCACGGTTCACCAGAGGAAATTAAATGACTTCACGATCTATAATCTGGCCATGCTTAGAAATTTGTCTGTTTTCATTGCGGGGAGACAATAATTTCCTACAGAGGAATAAAATTTAATCTGAAATTTCAGACAGTATTATATGTAAAGATTCATTAATCATATTAACATCTCTATAAGCATTTCAGCCAGTAAGCAGAGTTTATAGTTTGGAGGTGGCATAGAAATGATGGTATACAGAGAAAATTAGCACTGGAATGAACAACATTTGAACTTCAGATGGTTGTTAAGGCGTCTGTGTTGTCTTTCACAAAGGCTGTGGCTTCCAAATGCTCTGTAGTAACAGATATTATTAAAAACATGAGTGCTAACAGGGAAATAATTTTACTCTACATGTTTGCTTCTGTAATAAAGTGATAAACCGGTTTTGTTCCCAACCTGTCACATTCCCATTAGTCTTTCTTGAATGTCATAAAAATATAACGAGACAGTTTTCCTTTAACCTTTAAAAAAAAATCTACTAATTTTCTCTTGCCGAGAGAGAAATCTGATAGCTGACCACGTGTAGCAGACTGAGACCTTTGACGTTTATACATAGAACTGAGATCATCTTTGGTTATTAGGAAATTATGGCAAAACAGATACCTGTGCAAACTGCCTGCATTTTCTCAGGTAATTCCAGTAGTGAGTCTGACACTACGTATCATTTTCAACTATTTAATAAAAAATACACAATATGACGAGACCAGAGAAAAGGAAATGCAGGTTTAATTGCATTTGCTGTCTTTAAACTCTTTCATTCCTTTTAACTTTTACATGCCTATTAAAAAATACATACAGTTTTCAAAAATAAAATAAAATTAAAATAAACATCTTAGATGGCGTGGAAATAATCGCATCTGCAGTCCCGCACCTGCACGGCTATGTCGGCATGTTTTGGCAGCAGCGTTGTGTGCTCGGCGGGAACTGAATGCAGAGTGGACAACTCAGCGAGCCTCAGACGGCTCAGAGACACACGCGCGTGCTCCTGTGTGGGTTTTGGAAAGTTTGCCTGTATTGGGGATGGAAAAGCATTCCGACATTCGACAACACAGAGTCATACATATCATCTGCAATTTACACATCCATAACAATAATTATATTAGGATCGAGAATCAGAGCCATATTACATTTTAATTATACGGTATAGCAATATGACAGTTACTGATGTTCTGTCTAAAAACTACAGTTATGTTCCCATCTTTTCTTACGTGTATGCACTGCAAGTGCTATAGTCTTCTTTTTTCTGATTTTCTGAATACATAGGTAACTTAAATATTTACACTGATTATTTTACAGCCTATGGCCCAGCCCACTGACAAGAAAATGTTTTTTTTTTTCAATTTGTCTAGAATAAAAAGTGCAGAGTGGAAATGGGATGAAATGGTCCCAGTGAAAGGCAGCACAGGGAGGAAGCGAAGGATGGGAGTAAAACTGGTGCTCCCGGTCCGAAACAGGGTCCCAGACCCCAAGGACAGGATCACTCAGGATTTCCATGCATGCCAGGACTGTAAGAGATAGCAAGCCTCATCCTGTAGAGGCACACGGGACTCCTCACACACCTGAAGGGTGTTCAGGGTTTTGTGCAGCACTTTGTGATCCAGCAAACTCCAGGTTCTCCTAGTTAGTGCTGTATGGGGTACAGAGGGTTGACTGCCCAGTGTTACTGGGAAGATTCGCTGCTCCGAGGTTCTGGAATATTTCAGTCACTGTTTGGTTTGTTTTCCTCCTCCCCCTCTGCCTCTACATCACTAAGAGCTGTCCCAGAACCATCCTTAAATGCTGAGTACACCCTGCAAGCTCCCTCACCTTCTCTGTCATCTCTCTGGAGGCTCCAGGTGAAGGATACTGAAGCGCTGCTGTCTTGGTACTGATCACAATGTCTTTGAGTTTTTCACAGAGGGTGTTGCTGCTTTGGGCTACCCGTGCCCTCACTTCTGGAGATTTGGCCTGGCGTGACAGCGTGTCACCAATGAAGACCAGCTTGTGTGCGCTGAGAATGACAAACTTGCTGTGTGCCACAAAGATCTTTGGTGGCTGGTTGGAGTTGACCGCAGTAAAAAAGGCATCGATGGCATTTGTCACCGTGGTGACGTTCTGCTCGCATTGCTCTTGATAGAAGAGAATAAGCTGACGGTCACCGTGGCACAACTTGGAGGAGGCGGGGCCTCCAGAGCCGTTCTGGGCCAGGTAGTTTGCCAGAGAGTTGTGTGCGGATGGAACCCAACCGGTCATGTCGTTGTTGATTGGCCGGCTGACCTCCTGCTCCAAACGCTCAAACTGTTTAATCTGGAAGATGATAAAGAATAAAGACACAGTTAATAATAGAATATGCAACGACAACAAGTTAGAATTTCTTTTCGTTGTTTTAAATTGTCCAACAAAAGTCCTCTCTGAGATTTGTGCCTGTTCTGTTAATACTGACCTACTAAATACTAAAGCTCTGGGTTGCACAAAACACTAAGCCACCAAACTCTGACAGATTTTACTTTCTAGAAAAGCTGCCACTAAAAACTTGTACTGTTTTCTATTTCAGCAAGCAGCAGCTAAAAGTGAAAAATCATATGTTGGCCAACGCTGCTGGCTGCTGGAGCACCAAACAGTCCTGCTCAGTTAGGGCCTTTCTGTCTGACATTTGCTCTGCATTTTCACGGTCCTCCGTAACTCTGGCTTACAAATCAGGGAGGTTAGATTAACTGATGAGTCTAAATTGCAGGCAGAGAGTGCACAGAGTATAATAAATAATGAATAATTAAATGAATGTGGGCTGTAGTGTACACAATTTGGAGCAATGGCGTTTGCTCTGAAATCTGGGTTGTGTTCGAAGCTTGTCGGTTTCCTTTGTTCATTGTTGCCATGTGAAAGTTCGCACTCTGCATACGTGTAACCTCCAGTGGGTCACTTGTAGTGATGAATCCAAATCCAAATCAAAAGAATTTTATACACAGTTCAAAACTTTGTAACAAATGTACTGTGTGTGTGTGTGTGTGTGTGTGTGTGTGTGTGTGTGTGTGTGTGTGTGTGTGTGTGTGAGAGAGCTGGTGTTGGAGGTCATTTATCCCTCAGTTATTAAGAACCACTGAAGCAGTTTATTTGTTTACTGTTATTTGGTCTGACTTTGTCAAAGAAATGTAAGAACCAGTAAGGTACAGTAAAGGTAGAGGTGTAGTGTAGGAGACAGGAGGCAGCTCGCAAGGAGAAGCAGATGGTCCACCGAAGCTCGGTGTTTTGATCCTCAGCTCCTCCAGTGTCCTCACACTGAGGTGTCCAACAGACACGTACCTGCTGCTGCTCCAGCTGTGTCTTATTGTTTCGGATAATGTTGCCTTTCTCCAGCAGCTGTCGTTGGTTCTTCTCAAACTCTTCCTTTCCCTGACAGATCAGCGTATAGACACACAGTTAGTACACTACATGTACACCCACCCACACAGACACACACACCACTCAATCTAAAACATGTCTTTGTTTAGTCTTGCTAAAATACTAGTCAGAGACTTCTTTGATTAGAAAAAGTGTAGCACAGTCTTACAGCCTCACTTGTAATGTTTTCACTGTTTAATGAGTATTTGGTATTTTTTCCAGAAGTGTTGTTTCAAACAATGTGACATACCATAGTAAACACAGTAAAGAATAATTCTTAAGTCATGGCTGTGTAAGTGGTCAGAACCAAAGTGTGATCAATTCAATTCAGTTTTATTTATACAGCACCAAATCACATCTGTTGCCTCTACCCACTTTATATTGTAAGGTAAAGACCCTACAGTAATACATAGAGAATCCCAACAATCAGTCAACCCCCTGTGAGCAAACACTTGGCGACAGTGAAGGAAAAACTCCCTACTAACAGGAAGAAACCTCCACCAGAACTGGGCTCAGGGAGAGGTAGGAATCTGCCATGAGCCCAGTTCTCTCTCTGGTGGAGAGACAGTGCTAACGACTGCACCACTGTGACTCCCATAAACCACAGAGCGTTTTAGGAAATGGAGAGCAGCTGCTCACAGAAAACTCAGATTCATTCACACGCTTGTACCAGTTAAAGCTGCAATTACAGAGGAGACTTTCTCTATTTTTTTACACAGACCTTGATGTGACATTTCGTTTCTGCAGGGAAACACTCATAACTCATAGCAAGGCTTCATGTGATGGTCTTGGACATGCAGGGGGTTTTAGGAATTAAGTGCAGCAAACATTAAGTCCCTGTAGTCAAACAGACAAGTTTAAAGACCAAACAATGATTGAAACCATTATGGCCGAGTGACTGGACCTGACGACTACTGAAACAGTAAGTCTCTTGGGACACTCCTAGCCAGCAGTAGTGAGTAGCTGCTGTAGAAGCAGGAAAAATGGTGAACTGATATAATTCTGCTTATGTTATTTATATACGTAGGCTGTCACTGACTGGCACTCCATTCTAACTTCTCTACCACCAGCCTCCTATAACTGAATCATTGGCAGATGCTTCAGATGTATCTCAGCTCTGTGGAGCTTTGGGAGCTCTGGTACAATCAGTGCCAAATCTGAGTGGATTTTCTAAATGTGCTAATGTAAACATACAGTCACACTGCCAAGCTAAGATGTGATTCCTGTTATTGTAAAGGGCTCAAATCTGTTTCTGTGTGTACCTGCAGATGTACGTAGTCATAGTCCTCCATCCATCCTTCCTCTGTGGTCTCATATGGTCTCTCCACACCCTCCTCTTCTTCTGCAGCAGTAAACTTTGGTGGGGAGGGAAGGGGCCGTGACTGAATGTTCACTTTCTCCCCTCCTTGATAGCTTCCACTTCCAGATCCTGTTGTGTGACCACTAAGCTCCCCTGGGATAGGAGGAAGAGGCATTTGCTGCTGGCGAGTGGTCTTTTTAAAGAGCAGTGAAGCGTTGCCATGGAGAAAAGAAGCAAGCTGCTTGGCATCGTCAGGGATACCTCGCGCCGTCATGATCAGTCGATCTAAGTCATCCCCTCCTGGCGGTGGTGCTGTGAGTGCTGCGTGTGACCAAGAAATAGCGTCTAAGCTCTGACTATGTCGAATCAAATTCTGGAAGATCTCCTCCATTTTCCCGACCTGGCGGCCCAGTTTGGCCTGCAGTGAGCGGTCTGTGGCCTGGGCAGCATTCGCCACGGCGCCTCGGGCAAATTCTAAGAAATCTCGGACAGTGGTACGCACCCTGTCGGCAGCCTGATGAATGGCTGGGAGGTTTCCTTCAAGATGAGCCGGGCTTCTCCAGTTGCCTGTGATGAATGACATCATGAAGGAAACACTGGACTCAACAGCTTGTTGAAGACGAGACAGACGTTCCATGGCCTGATCCATTTCCAAGACCAGGGGTTTCCCTGGAATGGAGCCAGGAGCAGGAAGCGAGGTGGTGTCGCGGACAGGAACCATATCTAA